GTTGAGGCATCAAGTAAGCCTGGATTCCTCTCGTCATCCTCTGAGTCAGTCTCGCTGCTTTTATTTGGCTGTTCAATGATGATTTCGGCCTTCGAGAAAGCTCGGACGACAGTTGAGACCGATACTTTGGTCCAGGCATCAATGATCCTTGGCAGATAGTGGCGTAACTAGCCCGGCGTTGCCTCCCCCTCTTGGTAAAGGTGTGCTCACCTTCTGTCACCCACAGCTCCCACGCAGTACGTAATTTAACCCTGAACGCCCTGTTGACACTAATATCTAGTGGTTGGAGTTCTTTGGTCAGTCCTCCCGGAATGATGCCAAGCTCCGAATTAGTTTGCTTCACTTGGTTTTTGACAGTTTTTGTGAGATGGGCGCGCATAGAGTCGTAGATCAATAATGACGAAGATGTGTGGAAAAAGCCATCCGGTCTTTTGACGTAAACTTCTCTCAGCCACTCGCTTATCTCCTCGTCCATCCAGCATTTTGGGTTTACCTTGACAACGAGCCCAGCTGGAAATTTTTCTTTTGCTAAAGTCTCCCTTTTGAAAATGACCATTGGAGGTAGTTTCTGGCCATTAGCCTGGCAACTGAGAACTACAGTGAAGGATGATTTCTCGTTCCCTGTGGTGCGTATAGGGAAGCGTAGCGGTCTCTGTTTCTTCTACGGTTTGGCTCACGGGGATGTCAAAGGTGAGACTTACCTCGTCCATGTTGGTGATGTGGTCTGGCTGAATATCCTTTTCGGTGATCTTGTTCTTACAATAGTTGCGAAAAATGGCCAACGTTTCTTCGTAATCCTTTAGCAGTTGTTGCGAGATGGTAGTTCTTGTGCGGATTGAGAGATGACGCTTTTTCATAAAACGGAAGCACCAAGAAGGACCTCCTCAAAAGTCATTGATCTTCATATCACGTGTGATCATATTTGCCTTGACTCGAATGGAGACTGTAGAGACGCCTCTTCCTGTTGTTTTGTGTTCAATAACCCACTGCTCAATTTGTCCTCTAACTGAGGCCATCTTGCTTTGTTCCCTAGGAAACTCTGTTTGGTCTTCTTTACTTGGAGCAGATCACCTTCTTGCTTCCTCCACTTCCGTACCTGTGATTCATTAATCTTGAATTTTTTCGCGGCTGCTCTATTCCCATGTTGTACTGCGTGACTGATGGCTTCTTCGTCATCATCATCTTCCATCGCCGCTTCTCCTTTCGGGTAGTGGAGGCAGACGCGTCAGACAGTGCTTCCAACGTTCCCGATCCTGTGCCAGGGTCTGAGCTTCGGCAAAAG